AGAACTGCATATTTTAGTGGGAACATAATCCTAATGAACTGATGAACAGAGGATGTTTGGAGGTGAACTTTCTAGTTTAAAAACGATATTTTTACAACTGATAAAATAAAGCAATATGAAGTGAATTAAAGCTGCTAGCTTGAAGCTACAGAACAGAGCGGATAAACAGCCAGAGCATCGAAGCAGCAAAGCAACAGACCGGCGTCTGACTCAACGTCTAAATTTCGCTGTTTAAGCCTTCTTACAGCGCTTCTGGTGTGAACACAGCGTAACAGGTTTACTTCCAGGATTCTCTGTTTATTTTTTTAGGTCCATCCTTCTTCCCATCATCTCCAACCAACTTCCATTTACCCGCTGAAGCACAGTCTCCCCACAGCATGACATAGCCACCACCGTGTGTTGTTCAGAGTGAAGTACAGTTGCTCCACTGTTTAAACATTTTGAACATGTTTTTGTAAAGTGTTAGGTTTATTCAATGATGATTATAAAATGAATGTATGTACATATAAAACATTGAAGAAATTAGATGCTTCACGCTGTCTTATGATTCAGGAGGGGGGTCCGAGAGAGGGTTAGTGAGTCGGGTGTAGCTCTTTCTCCTTCTGCAGAAGCTGTTGAAAATCCCCTTCTGTGTGGACTCAGTCCCTCTTTTACGAACCTACATTTTTGAACCTAACAGAAAGTTCGGAAGCCAGCAGAAAGGTCCTGCAAATGTAGAAACCTTTGCAGGACGTCATGGAGTCATTTAAAAAACCTTTTCTACCAGATCCTGTAGTTCTGCAGACGTCAGTCCGGACCTGTGGAAACCTTTCCTAATCCACATCCTTGACTTCATCACAACTTCCTCCACCATGTTTATAGTCTTACTTCTAAACTTTGTTTTCTCCCTAGATTTACAGCGTTTGAAAGTTGAGCTTCCCGTACACTGCAGCCTCAGACGGCGTGCGCTCAAAGGCAGCCATTGATCTGGCAGTCAAAGCAAAGTCTTGGAACTGCTCTCTGATCAGCCATCCCACTCACCCCTCCTCTCCCTCTTTCTGTTACCCTCTGTGGCAGGGAGCATCACTCCGCGCATCCGAACTCCTGAAACTGGGTCAGACGACGCCATTAGGAACATCTTGGAGCAGGCCAAGAAGGAGATCCAGTCTCAGAGGGGGGGTAAGGAGGAAAAGCTGCCGGCTAGAAGTCGCAGTTTAAAGCTACATTGATTAGTTTATATTTTTGATTCACTGTTTTTTAGTTTTTTTTCTTTTTATCTCTACTCTAATGGATCTGAGCTGAAGAGGTGAATCAAGGCTGCATGCGTGTCTGTGTGGCTTTTTCTTGTTTAGGTGAAGGCAAGTCATCTCTGAACAACTCATCTGGCAGAATCAGTAACGGAGCAGGCAGCAGCTCTGATGAAACTATAAAGAACATCCTGGAGCAGGCCAGGAGGGAGATGGAGGCTCAGCAGCAGGCCCTAATGGAGATGGAGGCGTGCGGACGGTCCTCCACCTCCAGCTCAGGGGTTCAGGTTGAGCGCCTGGGGCCCCCTGAGCGCTCCAGGGTCCTGCCTTTGCCCATCTCCATCAAACAGGAGGAGGGGGGGTGCGTGGCGGTGTGCATGGCCAGCTCCATCAGCAGCCCCCAGACTCCGCTCAGCGTCCTCTCCCCCGCCGCTTTTGTCCAGAACATCATTCGTAAAGTCAAGTCGGAGATCGGCGAGGCGGGGACTTACTTCGACCAGCACTGGTCCCAGGAACGGGGGGCCATGATACTGGGCTCCCGGCCCTTCAGTTCCGTCTCGCCTTCCTTGTCCTCTTCGTCCTCTGGGCCCCCCACCCTGCCACGGTCCTGGCCTCGCCTGGAGAACGGCGACGGCCTGGCCAACAGCGAGGAGGTGTCCAACGCGGACGACGAGCCGGGCTTGGGCCGGCCAGTGGAGGTGAAGGTTGAGTCGGACACCTCGGTGAGCGGCGAGTCGCCAGGGCCCGGTCCGGGGCGCCTGTCCTACTACCCGGCGTACATCCCGCGGGCCCTGAAGCCCACCGTGCCGCCCCTGACCCCTGAGCAGTACGAGATGTACATGTACCGGGAGGTGGACACCATCGAGTTGACCAGGCAGGTGAAGGAGAAGCTGGCGAAGAACGGCATCTGTCAGAGGATCTTTGGAGAAAAGGTGAAGAGGTTTCATTAATCTCTGCAATAAAAGGTGAAAATGTTTCCGTTTAGGATCCAACGCGTCTCACTCAATCAGACTCTGGTTCATTTATCAAACTACGAACCTGAAATGTTCATTATTTGGGTGGAGTTGGTCCCAGCGTTCTATAAAAATAGTCTTAGTCTTCCAGCCGTTAGGAACTTTTCAGGTTTTTCTCATTTAG